TAACGATGACAGTACACGAGGAAGACGTGCGGAAAAGCATCACACGCACCACGTCGTAATTGGGCGGAGCCAGGTAATGAATGCATTAGGAATTGAGTGGAGACGTGATGCGGCTGCCGACAAATCAGAATCCGCCCATGGTCACATCGCCTCCAATCAGCCTTGTTACGTGATTTCACAGCTCTAATGAGTTCCTATCATGGTGACTCAATGGTGGGGGCGGCCTATGGCGCACCTCTGCCTAATTCTCTGTTTACTAGTGACCGCTACTCGAGATTTACTCCCCTATCTTTCGCACATCACGTCATCGCTTTCTATATTGAAACATTGTCACAGAGAAAAATATGTTGTTGGCTTGACTTCAGCTTATAAACAACGTTTAAGCCAGGTAAGGAGTGTGACATGCATTGAGTTTTGAAATAGCTTCTCTTTTGAACTAAAAGGAATACTCCCCGGAAACGTTATAATTCTACCTTTTTCCATAAATTACTGGCTTGAGATCCATCATTCACGATAAGAATGAAAAGAACAAAAAATTGCATTTGTTTGGTAAACAATTCGAAAAACCGGAAGGACTGCTACGCGTTCAAATTCCCGCCGTACATCTGTCACAAATGCTGGCGGCGACGCACGGGGAGCGCTTTCGTTTGGTGACATCCCTAAGAACACTTTCTGACCTATAGCTTGTTGCAGTAACATCTCAGACTTGTAATGCATCCTATCAGTTTGTTCGCTTTCTACAAAGGCGAACGCTTTCATTAGATTTTTTTATGCGTTGCCTGATACATGCCCCCCCCCTTGCGACGAAATTCTTCTCAGGCACTCTAGTGTTGCCGGACCAACTTTGACCGTTCATAGAGTATATTTTCATAAGTTGTCTGCCTTATAAACTGAATATTCGTGCGTAAGCCTTTGTATGTTGATTTTAGATCACAACTGACATATTCATGTTGGGAAAGTATGCGAGAGTTTTTGTTTATTATTAGCTGTTTTTTGCCGCAGTTCGCCTTGCGAATGTTTCACAAGAACAAGCTGACAAGCTATGGTAAGTATACCATGAAGAAGCTGAGTTGGGATGAAATGGTGCCCCGGTAGCGTAACTGGTAGCGCACTTGCCCGGAAGCGAGAGGTGCGGTGTCCTATCTGACGCGAAAGTTTTCTTCACGATGTGCGAGGGCAAGTTTTCCGAGGATGATTTAAACGAGGCGTTTGTGATAGGATTTTTAAAAGTTACTCGGTCCGAAGAACTTCATTTCTTACACAATTACACCATCTATCCTAAACTCGTTGTCTTTTTTGAAAAATTACTTCTTGGATTTACCCGTATATTCTCCTCCCAAAGACCTTCAAGCCTCTTCAAAGACATTAAATGAGAAGGTGAGAGAGATAAATTGAGTGTTTTCCAAATAAGTATACGCATCGCTGTAAATGGTGGCTAGATGGCAAAGAAAAGGGAGTGAGGGGTTCAGCAGCAAAACTAAAGCAGGTCGTCTCCAAGTGTGGCTATTGACGGTTTAAAGATATCGTCATAGTTATCGTTCCATTTCCAAATCAAAGTACACTTCCCATTAAGCGTCTCCACCCTACAATCCTTTCATGTCGTATCTTCTGCCATGGTCTGCTTTCCCAAGAAGCGGCTTGTGAGTGGAAAACTAGTTCATAATCAAGGAATCGGATTCTTGTCCTACTGCTTTTTTACTTTTCTGAACCAATTAGTACCCATTCTTCGATATAATCCTTGATCAACATCAAAATATTGCACTCACTGCTTTCGAGGAAACCTCGAACAAGTGGCACATTGGATCAACCCAGTTCTCTCGTAATTATTACTGTGGTTGGCCTCACAATAGCTGCGTCGGCTAATCAAATAGAATCTTATATGAAATGTTCATCGTGGAAAAGAACAACGAGAAAAGGCAAGGGGAAAGTGCACCGGAACTTCAATCAGCTGATATTTTCATAAAGGTATTGTGTAGTACTTGAGGTTCGTAATAAGGGTCTGGTTTGAGCAACTCTCTGTTCATACGAAACAATATGCATTGCCATAGTAAACAGGATTTATCGTGCAAAGCTCAGGCGTTTGGCGTTCTTGCCATAAATTGGCTATGTTTAAGCAATAATATATGTTGTCGCAGATGACACGATTTCCGATATTTTTCAATGACTCTTGGAGTACCTTTGTCGAGCATACTGCTCAGCTCACTACACCCGTTCCGAATTCACCCTGATGGGTCAAACTATTAAGTTCTGAACATCATCTCATCATATCTATCTCATCTGAACTTTCGCACTTTTCCATGTTCACCATGTTCCCCCCAAGGAAAACGACTAAACCTTTATGACTGTCGCAGGAATTCGAATTAACATTGGAGCTGCTTCCGCCGAAAAATTTTACGACCCCTCTCCCCTTAGAGAGTCTCGATAACGACCCCTCCCCCGTAACAGTAATTGTGTGTGTAAAGATGCCGCTAAGCCACCTATGTGCAGCTGCGCTGCGTACTTTCCAGTATCGTGGAAAACTACCGATTGTGCACTATCTCAAGAACTCTGTCTGTTAGAGAGTATCTCAAGATGGAACTCTGTCTGTATAGAGACTATAAGTTTTGATCCCATAAAATAAGCACTATCCTTGCTATTTTTGAGAGAGAGTCGTGAGTATATTTTCGTTTCCAGAAAAACTGAATAATTATGAAAATGGTAAAGAAAATCAAAAACACTGAGCTTTCCCGGTAGGTCGTACTAAAACTTTTGTGTACTAAGTTTTGCTCAGAAAGTCATTCCGTTAGACTATTCTTTGCGCACAACGCAGGTTTTAGGGTTTTAAAGTGCTATAACTTTCTTCAGGTCCAACTTTTTGCGTTTCTACAACACCGCTAGAAAATTAGTAGAATGTTAGTGTGCTTCCTAAAGAATAAAAGGTACCGAACTTTTCTGGGAAGTCAACGGCTCACAATTTTTTTCTCTCGAAATTTTCTTCGGAGCCTTGAAAATTCAGCTCGCCCAGTGCTTACCTCTTTTCCTTTTTATCCTTTTTTCTGTATATTCCGCGCTATGCTCCAAAAGCGTCGTATTCTCTTTAAGCAGTGCAGATTCGTGGATACATCCACATCACCGATCGGCTAACACCACTGTATCTGTGAGATTGAACGCCATACACTCGTTTGGCGGTAATATTTGCTAAATAAGAGACTTACCAGGAAGGTCTTTCAGGACATGGAGCCCTTTTTGAAAACGGTTTTTTGCATGATAAAGGGGCACATGCATGGAGTACAAAACTAGCTCCATTTTTTCTGAGCGGCCCTGTGAGTGCCAAAAAAGGTATGAAAAATTGGTCGAGGGATCGGTCCCGGCTGATGACAAAATTTTGCATTTCATGTTAGCGCATGTTAAATGACTCCAAATGTTACCGCCGATAAAAATAGGTACTGTTCTTACAATCAGGGTCATCATCAACCTTTCTGATTAGCTTTCTGCCCAGAATTGGGGCGAAAATTTGCATGGCGTCGTCTCGCAGCGCCGCGGGAAAGGCTAATAATGGCACCATATCTGCGCCTCTAATCAAAAACTGGACGTCAGGTTACGTATCACGCCTATAACTTTCCGCGCTTACGAAAAATCAGATTCCCAGTTGTTTTACGAGAGAATCTAAATTTTCAGCCCGAATTCAAAAATTCGGGCCATGTTAGCCCATAGTCAGTACGGCATGCACGCTTCCCACTTGGAGACAGCTTCGAGATGATAGCAAGCGGCACGTTTGGTTGATAGTTACACTTCCACCGCAGTTCCTGCCCATGGGGCAATCTGCATCACCTCCTTGATCTCGTCGATGCATTAGCTAATCTATGTCACTCAACGTCGATCTGAGGCAATCCTGGACTTCTCACGCAGGCTCTATGCTCCTTCAAGAGGCAATGATGGCTGTTCCTTGCGAAGAAATGCGGCACTTCACTTTTCTGGCGTTCGTTAGATGCAGTCGGTGTGATCTGCGCCTGTGATTCAGATACTTCATTGAGTTTTACCATAACTGCTAGTTATTTATTGCTTGTAAACGGAATTTCGTACACAACTGAAAAATCATGGTACTACGAAATATCGCAGAATTGTGGGAGAAAGTTCTTGGAAATGACACCTATAGGCTTTAAGTTCACGCGCAAGCACATGCAAATGCAAAAAAGTGATAATCGGAAAAATGCAAAAATCCGAGCGTGGAGGGGAACCGAACCAACAACTTCGAACAAACCGTGCCAACCAGAGTCCGTCACGCTATCCACTCGACCATCCGACCACCGCTGTACAATGAATGTCAACGACTCTGATGAAACTTCCTTGTGATTTTGAGCACTTATTATATACAATTTTTGGTATTGGCTAAATTCCACGCTGTTTTCACGTTCAAGGGAAAAAAAACCTTCTATTGTGCGTCCACTTAACATACCGAGTGATATAAAGAACGTTGAAGGTGTGAAAACTCCGATTTCTGAAGAAATTTTTTCACTCCTTTTTTGGCATACAGAGGGCCGCTCAGAAAAAATGGAGCCTAGTTTTGTACTTCCATGCATGTGCCCCTTTATCATGCAAAAACCGTTTTCAAAAAGGGCTCCATGTCCTGAAAGGTCCTTCCTGGTCAGAACTTATACTTCTCGCTTACGGTCGCGTCAGCAAACGTAGATTCCTATTGTTCAATGCTGTGAGCCCAAGGTTAGAACTGCAGGCCTTTATCACGTCTATGAAACATTTCAACATTTCTGTTGCGGTCACTGCCAGTCATTTTTTGACGTTTGGGGCCCACAGCGCACCTCACCTCCACGTTCCTACATCATGGAAATATTCTCTCACACATTCTGTGTCTCCGCTGACATTTCTGCTCATAGCGGAGCCCCTTTTGTGCCCGTACTGGTGCAATTTGCAGTAATCCAATCTTCGCTTGCGACTGGTTCACCGAGACGGATGCGGCTTAACCTGCTGGTAATTAATCAGTCTTTGGCCTGGACGATAATCTACCAGGATTTGATCCTACCACCGTGCCACCGAACGGGCATGCCATCTATACATACACCCCTCCCTTATAGCAACCAATAGACTCAGAGAATAATTGAGTCATTATGTTCTAACAATTAAATAGTCTCTCGCCTCTTAAAGCGGTTTGTTGTCTGTCTTTGCAACGCTAAAGCAATTCCTGTTCGCACGCTAACTCGCCATAGATATGGGCCCCTAATATCTCCCTTGTATTTTGACGCGTTTGGTATACGGGAACATGCATAAGTGCTGAAGCGGATCGTGAAAAACACAGAACTAATGCTTCCTTTACTTGAATCGCTAATGAACGCCTATTGCTGCATTCGATGGCACGGTAAGACGCGAAGAAGTGGCTATTCTGCATAGTTTGAACTTGCCAGGGAAAAGGTAAACATGATACTAGTTTCTCTGGAGTCATGAATTCTTCACTTACCGCTAATTTCAAACTGAAAATATGAACATTTCACAACATTGAAAAGATGAACTGATTGTGTCAGCGAGTGAGCTCAATGAAGTTTTTGAGGTGAACTCTTGCGCTTCCCACTTTTCCAAGTAATGTTTTTTACTTCTTTCTCACTAATTGAGTGACGATAAATATTTCATTCCTTCCGCAAAAGCGTTGCACAGTTCTGTCGAGCTCCATGCTTGGCACAAGAAGCGTCCACCGTCCAAAGTGGTAATATGGTAACATCGTATAAGATTGGGGCTCCGAACATGGTGCCATTTGGCCGCCTTTTTGCGACTCCCACCTGCTCCCCGTTCATGTGCGAATACAATGAGGTAACATTCGCAGGGAATGCCGTAATGTTCGCTTCTAAAATCGGTCTTTTTGCATGATATAGGGGCACATGCGGGAACCACCAGAACCACGGTTAATTTTTCCTGAACGGCTCTCTGAATACCAGAAAAGGGGTCCTGGTTCGATTCCTCGTGGTGACAAATTTTTGCACTTCGAGTTGCGTTTCTAAAATTCGCGTAGAAAGGAGTTAGCATGAATAATTAGGTGTTATTGCTTTGCCATATTCATGGAATAAGTACCCGTCATGCACTAATAACCAGCACGGAATTAGGTATTTTCAAAAGAACGGTGAATAAAGGGTCGAGCATCCACATGGTCACTTCTCTTTGTCACTAGTTTTTTAACAAAGTTCTTATTTCTTGTAAGAGTTACTGACGGTCCTAATATGAATATGGCATTCATTGTTCATGTTTAACTCCATTTTGCGCGCGAATTTTGGAACGTCAACTCGAAATGCAAAAATTTGTCACCACGAGGAATCGAACTAGGGACCCCTTTTCTGGTATTCAGAGGGCCGTTCAGGAAAAATTAAACATGGTTCTGTGGTTCCCGCATGTGCCCCTATATCATGCAAAAGACCGTTTTGAAAAAGCTTGGCACCACCCTGAAAGACCTTCCTAGCTACTTCAGCCTGAAGTGTACCCAATCTGGCCCGAATTTGAAATTATTCTGGGTGGGTGACAGCGAAAATTTTCAATAATCGTCCAAGCTTCCCGAAAATTTATCGTAAACTATTTTTATTCTTCTAAACTATTCATTCCAAGATTTTCACCAAAGTGAGCCCGCCCCTCCTCCTCTATATCAGTCTCAAAATCCCTATTTCCATGTCCCTTTTTAGTCAAACGAAAGGTCGACCCTGTTTGAATCTTAAGTATAGCAGTTGCAATTTTCATCCACATATGGAATCGTCTCTTTGTACGAAATGACGTCTTATTTCCTTTTCTGGTGAACTTTTCGCCGACTTTCAAAAGTTCTATTCAAATGAAATTCAATTTTCTTCGACTACGAATATTATTATAGATGCAAAATGTAGAGAGTGCACCCGTGCACATTCGTCGCTGTTACGTCAGTGAAGCCAAAGCAATTGACCGTCACTTTCTCGCTGTTTCGTTTGATTCGCTCCTCGGTTGCTGCCACTGCCACTCAACTTAATGGGAATTTTTGGGTTGCATTTCGTTGCCCTTTCCCGATGCTGATTGACTGTTCCGTCTGTTTTCTTGCAATTAAACACACGCTCGCCTTTCCGTTCATTATTCGTCGCCGTCGTTCTACTTGTCCGTTGTTATCGTCTCCCCAGCACCTTCTCCCTCTTTGATTTCTTTTTGTAGAACATGAGTTCACCAGCAAATTCCACCGAGGACCAATCCGGACATTCCATGCGAATGCATCGAGTCCGTTCTTAACAAGGCTTGCAATCGCAAGAGGTGAGCCCAGCAGTTCTCAAATTTAAAGAGTAGAAGCTGGAGGCGAGGCCGTCACAGCTCATCGGCGCTATTCCGCATACTGCTTTGACATTCCTTGGTTTCCCTGTCGAATTTTCTTTCAAAGAAGATTTTTAGCTACGTTTCGCGACTCAGCGGCCGTTTCACTAAATGTAACTGGGCTTGGACTTCTTCGGTGGTGTTCTTCTGGCGCTTTTATGTATTCAGGCACTTGCACTCTAACTCGACTTATTACAATTCAACTAGAGCTATTACATCGCAATCCGCATGCTGTGCACTCGGCTGGTCAGGTTTTCATGTTTTACTGGCTCTTTGCCCCAATGAGCTGGAGAAGTTCGAACTATGGCTCGGAAGCAGCGATGAAAGGCGTTTCCGTTCTTAATACGTAAGTGAATGTCGTTGGTGAAAGGCTTTACGAACCACACCGCCCACAGGCTAAAGGGTACAGCCGCCGACGACGTCCAGTGACGTCACCGCAACCGTACTGCCTTCCAGCTACCGTAATCGCGGCTTTTCAGAATAACCTGTGGTTCAACTAGGTAGCAGAAATCTTTTTGTTGTGGTAGAACTGGGTTGGAGCCACTAGTTGGCGCTCTGCTACCATACCAACGACATTCTATGCTCTGCCCTGGACACCTTCCCTTTAGGTTATTTCTGGTAGAACGAACCCCAAGGAGAAATAGCCTTCTTGGGTTGAAAAAGGGCAACAGATTATTTACGGCTCTTTCCTTCCATGAATGCGCTATAGAAAAGTATAACTCTCGTAGAATTTGGCTAAGGGGGCTGTACAGCGAAACGCTCAGGAAGTTATGATGTAAAGGTTCACCTCAGCACTTCAATTGGCGACTATTAGCGGTTTACGGACTACTTGAACTCTCTTCTATGGTCCTGCCACGAATGGCGGAGGGCACAGACAGTTAGAGAACGGCGCCTGGCTCGGCTCCAAATCCCAAGGAAGGAGGTGAGAGCCTAGGACTAAGCCTTGTAGGGGGAGGGACTTCGAGGTGGGTGAGCCAACTACAGTGTGGCAAAAGTTTGAATGTGTGTGATCACAATGTCCATGAGTCGCCTGGTGAGATGAACTCATAGTCTGCGGTAATGAGCCAATGGACTGCCCACAGTGGCACTGTAAAACCACAAATCTCGTTGTAATTGGACGATTTGGTAGCTGATGGTCTCCTTTATTGTACTGATCTGTCAAATAGGCACATAATTTTAGAGCTGGTAATGATAATATCCAATATTATCATGAATTTTGAGAGCTTCCTTAAGCCGGGTACAGAACGACAGTCCAACAGTACTAGACTTCTAACTCCAACGAATAGATTTTCATGCACAATATTCGCATGTTTTATTACAGCTGATGAATACACTGGCGATGGTGTTCCTTTTACCGCAAGCACTTCGAACTGTCGGCGCTTGGGAGGCGAACTCTGCTGCCGATGCCGTTTATTGGGGCTACTATCCATACCAAGCGTACTTCGTCAACGTCTTCGGATTCTGCGCTATGTGGTGAGTATGCTCGAAGTTATCAACCCCTTCTCACACAAAACCGTGATATCATGGTCTCTGTTCTGAAAAATTAGCCGAATAAGTGAAAGTTAGTTGACACCAAAAGAGATAAATCTACCTGATTCTCAATCTTCGTTACAGACATCAAAGTCCTGAGTGCTACAGAGGTAGCCTAGCAAGCCTAGCAAGAAGCTGAATAGCTAGATCATCAACTGAGAACTCTAAACACGTACATGACGTTCTTGAATTGCACTTGATATGAAACTCTTCAAAATCTTTTATGCAACGACGTTCGGGGCTTTAAGCGATTTCTCAAGTGCAAATGAAGAACATATTATACAATTAAGCTCAAGAATCCTATGATATTGACACACATAACAGTTCAAAACTTTGATGCGAAAGCAACTACATCCCTTCGTTAAGATTATTTCCTTGAATTCTTTATTAAGTTCCTTCTCGCAGTGCTTCGAAAGCTGAACTATGCGAGGGCCTCATGTCGTCGGGGAGGGTGGGATGAAGGGTCATTCAAGTAAGTGAATCGCTTCCAGCACTGGCTACATGGAAAGGGATTGTGTGAGACGACGTGAGCAATTTTCGTTTTCCCTCCACTGTTCTGAATCCCCTCTAAGGAAATGAGCGCCACCATTGAGAAGAAATATTGGGAGCAACGGCACAAACACGGAAGGAATCTAATGCGAAACGAGATACGGGCTGAAATTAGGAGGAAATTTATTGTCGTCCGTCCCGTGAGTATCGGAGAGCCCGTGATTAGGCCTTGGCTACTGTCTTCTATTTGGAGTTTTCATAGCAAGGTCGCTTTCTGCGGAGGGTTCACCTCAACCCAATTTATGCTATTACGTGTGGTGTTGTCACGCTTATCTCCAATAATAACGGAGAGCTGTAGCTTTTGGTTCCTCACACGTGGATAGATGCGGCGACATACGGAATTGCTCCTGTGATCTAGTATTACGAACACCTCAGTACTCTATATCTGGCGTTTGAGAGTTCGTGGAATGACCCGTGATTAGATTTATTTATGAAGATCGATTCTGTCAGTGTGCTGATCACCACTTTATGTGGTAATCTGCGCTTTTCAACGCTGTGTAACCCTTTTAATAGGGCAAGAGTTCTGAAAACAGACGGTTCTCGACAAAGGCAGCAAATTTGAGTGCAGTGAACTCGATATTTGGTGGCAGCCGTGAAAAATGATGGGACGGTGGGTGTAGTTGGAGCTGCCAACGAAAGAAAGATAGGAATTCATAAAGGCCTCGGACGCGCCTTATGGGATTTGGGTGAGGTGGGGGGGGGGAAACATAGAGGGAAGGGATCGGAGAAGATGTGAGCCATTGTTTCTTCTCACGTTTCTCCCCTCTGCTGGTCTTATTGTTAGTTCTGATGCCACTTACCATGGGCCCTGTTTTGAATGCACACCCCCCACCCCCCCCCCCACCCCCCGACCTTACCTCACCTTGCCTATTCACCGATTAGTACTGTCCTTCAGCTGTGCGTTTAAGGTTAGTTCAGCAAATTGGAAATCAGTTCTGAGCTCACTAGCATATTAAGGCAAACGCAAGGTATAAGCTTAACTTCAATTGGTAGGGCTGACCAATTCCTTCCTTCATCAGTTTTCAAACAAATGCAAAAAAAGTTGTCAAATTGTGGTGTTTCTTATATGGAACATCGTCCGTTTATGGATTCGACCTACTTACCACACCTCACTCACCTTCCCAAAATGGAGGGTGTAAATGGAGTTGCACTTTCAAATCATCTACGTATTCATCAACACTATGTTAAGTTTGTACATGCCTACAATCCCAGTTCAAACTGGTTGGGTAGCAGCGGTCGACAATGAGATTGTAGATGTCAGGGTCAACTCAAAAAAAAGAAGCACAAGCAAACCGTCGATGAAGTTACTAAATAAATACTCCAACTCTCTCCCTACTGATGAACCGGACGAGTTGTCTGAGCCTGTTTGCTCCATGGCTCCGTTAACCCGCCCGTATTTGAAATGGAGGCTGATCTTGTTGTGTCATGTGATGCGTGCGAAATACCTGGAGTATCAGTCACATCACCCGTTGTTAGTTCACTTTGCAAAGCCCTAGCGTCATTGTCACGCACTTTCGAGTCGCGACAAGCACATCGTTGACACTCGTGAGCTACTCCAATGGGGTTGCTTCTTCAAATCTCTGCGGATGGATTCTGAATCGCGCGAGTGGACGATTGTTTCAATGAGTCGAGTCGAGTGCATATAGTGAGTGTTCTTCGATGGACAGACTGCTCTACTGAAAATCACGGGACGCTAATAGACCCGACTAATTAGGCCTTTTAAAGCGCGACAGCTGAGTTGCTGCAACATTTGCATAAGAGCGCTCTTAATGAACAACTGTCTCGATGGCATGATGATCGATGAGCAAATTTATTCATATTTTAATTGATCCATGTGAAAATTGCTTTCGTGGGAGTTCCACAGGGAAATCC